CTGTCCACCCAGGAGCAGCGAGGGAGCGGGGCCGGCATCCCTGCCAACCCACAGGGCTGTGTAAGCCCACGCACCCCTCCTCCTGCAGGGACAGCACCCCTCCTCTGATGCCACATGGCTGCTTTCCACAGCCTGGCTGTCCACTCCGTCCCCGAGTGCCCAGGCTCCTCTGGGATGCGCTGCATCTGCTCCTGATTCAAATGCTGCAACTGCTCTCCTTGGTCCAGCTCGAGGAGCAGTGCTCGGCCAGCCCGAGGGAGCCCTGCAGAAGGCCGGCAAGGCTGGCCTAGTGTCAGACTGTCTCCTTGAGGATGGTGTATAGTAAAGGACGCGGTATCTCCTCCAAGGGTGGGAGCCCTGGGTCCCTCGGGCTGAGCCTCTCCTCCCATAATGCAGCTGTTGACGTATGGTCGCCCGCCTGAGCCCTTGCCTACCACCCAGAGGTTCACGAGGGAGGAGAGCGCCACACCACAGAGACCCGGGAAGCACCCGTCCTCTGCCAGAAGTCCTGGAACTGCGTCAGCCTGCAAGTAGTGCACAAAAAGAGCCCTTCCCGCATCTTGACCCCGACCAACTAGACAAGAAGGGGCACGCCGGGTCCTGGCGATGCTGTAGCGCTTGAGGGGAGGTGCGTGGCATCTGCTGCTCAGAAAAACACAACTCCATGCAATGCTAGGAGCTGCAAAGATCAGCTTTGAAGTCATCCTCCTTGTCCCTGGGCACTCATGGAGTCGGCTCTGACCGCCGGCCCTTCCCAAGGCCACACCCTCCCAGGGCCTCCACAATCCAGCCCTGTCAGGTAGAGAGGTCTCTCCCTCATCAGCGTGTGTTTGCCAGGAGGCTTCCAAGCATCAAGTAGTTCAACATGGTCCCTCCCCAAGCCCACAAAGACCAGGAAGTTTTCTTAAGCTAACCTTATCTCTCTACGATACTGTTAATGACCCTACAAATATGATCTAAAGCCACAACTTGGCTTTGAGAAGTAGTTCCTGGTCTGGCCCTTAGTTCAACACCCTCAGAACAGAACCCTGTTGTGTGGGAAGTTATCTAGAAGCCGTGGCACCTGCACATGTGTGCCAGCTACCGCACAGAAGGGGGAATGGAGGCACACAAGCCACACAGGGTGTGAGGCCGCCCGTAGCATAGGTGATGTGGAGGAAGGAAGGTCCAGCTCGCCTGGACCAGGTGCAGTCACAGCCGGCCTCTGCCCTCAGCCGCCTGAGTGAAGGCTTGAGCCAGAAGCCCAGAGAGGAAGCTGCCTGGGTTTGACCCGGGTTCTTGGTTTTGTCGATGTTGTGATTGATAGGGGATTTTTTCTTTTTCTTGTAGCACTGAGGTTTGAATTCAGCCCCTTGCACTTGCTACAAAGGCGCTTTACCACTTGGACCACACTCCCAGCCATTATTTTCTAGATAGGGGCTTGTGCTTTGGTCGAGGGTGAGTCTCAGTTGAACCCTTCTACAAATGCCTGCCCTTTTCATAGCTGGAGTTGCAGGCACGTGCCACTACAACAACCAACTTATTTGCTGAGATGAGGAACCTGATAAGTTTTGCCCAAGCTGGGCTCAAGCCAAGCTTCAATCCTTCCCATCTCTGCTCCCTGCAGAGAAGGGATTACCCAAGGCGTCAGCACCCAGGAGGCTGGCCCTCGCTGTCAGCAACGTGATTGTACCGCAGCCATGATGCCACTTCGCACGACTGAGGCCGAGCGCACGGAGCCCAGACAGGGCTGCTTGCGGGGTGACAGAGCTACAGCCCCATGCGGTGGCTGCTCCCTCCACCCTCTTCTAGTTGTGCTCCCATTCTGGTGTGCTCCGGTCCTTCTTGGCATGACACAAGTCTCATGCGAGTCACCGCGTCTCGCGAGGCTCCCACCCCGTCCATGCTGGACATGGATCCACAAAGCCCCCACATTCTTTAGTGTCTACAGCAGGGTCTCGAATAACAGTGAGCAATGCTGACACTGGCTTGGGTGACCGCATTGCTAAGCATCCTGGGCTGCAAGGGGCAGAAGCAAACCCATCCCCTGAGCTGTGTCCCTCCCTCAAACCCAAGGGAAGCCCCAGCCTTCGAGGCCCAGAGCCATTTGTTTACTATGAATCAATAGTTCTCCTGTGTGAGCTGGACTGGTCAGTCATCGTGGGGTGGAGTTAAGTTCAGCGCTGTGGAGGTCTGACTTTGTTTTCACTGCTTCCCACTGCCCAGGGTAGCCGGTTACAACAGAAGCCTTTTTGCCAGCAGGCCTCAGTTTACACTCAGCTTACACATGATCGGGGAACAGCAACTGAACTCCTTTGGTGTGGCCTGCAGGCAGAAGGAAGGCTGTGGAGAGGGAGAACGAGCCGGGGGGGGGGGGGAGACGGAGCAGAATGCTGAAGGTGAGGGGCCGTTTCCTGACCGGCGAGGAAGGTCTGGTCCACCTGAGGAGATCCACAGAATCCACGGGAGCTGCATACTGCGTTATCCACCCTAATCATTATTCGCTTAAGCAGCACCGGATTACCAATTGCTTTTTAAAGCCCAAAGCCTATTTGTGCAGCCTCCTGGAGGAGGTGGCCTGTGTGCCCAGTCTTGACACACTACGTGTCCGGCCTTGTCACCCTGTGCTCGGGGCTGAGCACACTGGAAAAAGTGCCATTTCCATGCGTGTTGGCGGGACAAGCAGGCATTACTTAAGTGGACATCAGCCTGGCCTGGTCTGCAAGAGCTTTTCTCTAATTAACCACCAAAAAGCCAGAAGTGGATTGTGGTTCAAGTGGTAGCCTTACCAGTCTTGATCAAAAAAAGCTAAGGGACAGTGCCAAGGCCCTGAGTTCAAGCCCCAGGACCAGCAGAAATAAAAAAGGATTCACCATATTAACGGTTTATACTGAATTTTAAAAGAAGCAATTATCTACTTACTCCTCGATGGCAAAACCATCCTGGTAAACAATCTCAACACCAACATTAGAGTTGTTTGCTAAAGAAATAAGAAATCAAAAACCAAATAATGTTCTTGGAAACTGATATTGTAACTAACAAATGTCACTCATTAAATCCATAAGAGAGGCCAAGTATGCTGACTCACACCTTCACGCCTAGCTCCTGGGAAGGCTCGGAACAGGAGGATCACAGTACAAGGCCAGCCCAGGGAAGAAAGTCCAGCAGCTCTCCTACCAAGCAATAGCTGGCCACAGTAGCGGGCACCTGTCATCCTACCTGTGTAAGAAGCTAAGATTGGAAGAATCACAGGTCCAGGCCAGCTGGGGTAAAAAAAAGAAAAAAAAAAGTTTAGGAGACCATCTCTACAAAAAAAAAAAAAAAAATCTGAGCACTGTGGCATACACCTGCATCCCTGCTATGCAGGGAGCATGAAGGGGGGACTGTGGTCCATGTTGGCCTGGGCAAAAAGTGACAACTTTTCTCAAAAACAACGAAAGCAAAAAGAGCTTAGAGGCGTGACTCCAGATACCATGTGCCTGCTAGCATGCCTGAAGTCGAGTTCACACCCAAGTACCACCACACACAGGAAGGAGGGTCCCCACAAACACAGGTGTCCCTGTTCACCTCACAGCACTGGAAATACAAAGCATCTACCTCATGCTGCAATTCCCAACAGACAGTATCTATTGACATGGCTTTCTTTGCTGGCTTTGTGACTATGTCCTCTGAAGAGGTTTGTGACATTGTTTTTAAATCTGTGAACTTTTTTTTTTTTTGAGTCCGGTCGTGGGGCCTGAACTCTGGGCCTGGGCGCTGTTACTCAGCTCTTCAGCTCAAGGCTAGCGCTCTACCACTTGAGCCACAGCGCCACTTCCAGCTTTTTTTTTTCTTATGTGGTGCTGAGGAATTGAGCCCAGGGCCTCAGGCATGCAAGGCAAGCGCTCTACCACTGAGCCACCTTCCCAGCCCCTGTGAACTGTTTTTATTAGAAATGCCCTCATAATTAATATTTTATGGTATTAAATAGCCAAACTTAATCCTTATTATTCTTATTAAGAAATGCAATGCCAATTAATGAATTTCAAGTAATATTGCATCCGTTGCTTTCTATAGTAGGCATCAATGTCTGGCTATTGAGAGAGGCAAGATCTCCCTTTCTTTTTTTTCCCTCACAATTTAAATTTTTTTTAAGTTTATTGTAGAGGTGATGTACAGAAGGTACAGTTACATAGGTACGGTAAAGAGCACATTTCTTTTTGAATAGTGTTGCCCCCTCCCTTATTTTCTCCCACTCCCCTCCTCCCCAAGTTGTAAAGTCCATTTCCAACGCAGTGTCTAGTGAGTGTCACTGTTGCATTAGTTCATCCTTTGTCCCACCATTTCTGTGATTCTAAACCAGACAAGACAATATACAAGACAATGGGTACAGAAATTTAAAAAAACAGTGTCAACAGGGCATGAACCAAAGGAGGGGAGAATGAATAACTTTAAAGAGTACAATAAAAAAACTCTTGTTTCCATTTCTTGGAGTTTATTTCAATAAGCACCATTTTTATGGTTATTTGCACAGAGCTATGAGCCATTGTGACCCCTCCGCTAAGAATATTCTGGATATTACAAATGAGGGAAACCACGCAGCCTGTGTTTCTTTGGGGGCTGCTTACTGCACTTGATTTGACTGTTTTCCGAGACTTTCCACTTCCTTACGAAGGCGGCGGTGTCATCCTTCTAAGGGGAGCACTGAACCCCATTGAGGATATAAACCCCATTCTCTCGACCCTTCCCTTCACTGAGGGCATCTGGGCTGATTCCATAGCTTAGCTGTGGTAAGGCTGGTGACGCTTTTTGCTTCTTTATCTCTTCAGGCTCCAGAACTCTGAAGGAACACGCCAAGCTTTCCTCTGCACTCACTCTGGGCCTGTTCTATGGAACTCACCACACAAACAGCAGAGGAGACAGTGAACGTTCACACCCAACACCCCCCACCCCCCACGCTGGCTGGTCACGTAACCCACAAATCTGCCCTGTGCTTGGGGCTCCGGTAGCCAGCCTCCAGCCTCCGTGGGGCAGATGTTTCCTTACCAGGGGCAGCTGCAGTAAACACGGTGTGAAAATGGTCCACAGGCAAAGGTTGGCTCTTTCTTTATGTTCTCTATTAAAGCCGTGCGTTCTCCTGGTGCTGTAAGCCCACGGTGTCCTCTGAGGAGAAAGCGGCTCTCGGGGTAGCTGATATTTTTGCATCTGCCTCTCTCACCTTTGTCCACATAGACCCCAAGAAACAACTGTTCTCTGGCAGAAAAGTCTATGTGTCCAAGAAGTCACAGCAGCCTGCTGCCAGTGGCTCATGCCTATAATGCTCTCTACTTGGGAGGCTGAGAGCTGGAGAATACAAATTAGAGGCCAACCCCAGACAAAAGGGTTCACCAGATGCCACCTCCAGCCACAGATGGAAGCAGGTGTGTGCCGGTCACCCCAGAGCAGGGTGCGAGGCTGAGATTCTGTCTCAAGAATAACCTGTGAAAAAACAGGCTAGAGGCATGGCGCAAGTACTGCAGCGCCAGCCTAGCAAGTGGGAAGCCCTGGGTGAAAACCCAGTATTTAAGAGAGAGAAAAAGAAGAGTTGAAGCAAATGGTAGACTTGGTGGAATGGTGCTTCAGGTTCTATAGGCAAGTCTGGCTGGTCTCCCGGCTTCCTCCTCCTCCTCGTCCTCCTCCTCCTCCTCGTCCTCCTCCCCCTCCTCCCCCTCCTCGCCCTCCTCCCCCTCCTCCTCCTCCTCCTGTTACTACCCACCCTCAGCCAGCGGGGCCCCTCCCTGTTCGCTCCCTACGCCTCCCTCTCTTCCCTTGGGAACTTCTGAGGTGGGGTCTGCACAGGAGACTAGAGCAAAATGAAAGGAGATCTTTAGGGTGGGCCTTGGTTCAATCTGACCCCAGACCTTCTAAGAAGAGCTATTGGGACACCCAGATAGCTAAAAGAAGGGGGAGCAGGAGCAGGACATCAGAGAAACCAACCCTGACATGGCCTCAATCTTGGACTTCCGGCTTCCAGGACTTGGGAGAAACAAATGTCTGTTGCGGTACTTGGTCTGTGGCAGTTCCTTATGATGGCTGCTGACTTCAGACAGAGGCTGGCACCAGCCACCCTCCACCAGGCCCAGTTCCAGGACCCCCGGGAACCTGAGGATGCCCAGATATAAAACATCGCGTTTGCGTAACATATGCGCAGTAACTCCCACATTCAACCCATCTCTAGGTGACTTACAATGGATGTCTGAAACACTGTAAATACCATAACATGGAATGCCTGAGGCCATGCAAATACGACCACAATGAGCGCCTGTTTCAATGTCAATACTATTGCAGTGAATGCTGATTCAGTGTCAATACTGCGGAACAGCCCTGCACTCGCCCCCCGTGGGATGAGGGAAAGGTCTCCTGCCTTTGCCATTTTCCCTGAGGATTTTGGCGTGAGGTTGGCCGAGTGCACAGATGTAGGAAGCGTGCATTCGGGGCCTCGCTGTGAGACTCGGCCTCGCTGTGAGAAAAGCTATTCTTTTCTGTCAAACTAAAGTGTATCTGGTATTGGTTATTGGTATTTCCTGGAATTATTTGCTTCATTTACTTCAATTGTCACTATTCCATGCTTGTTACCACCTGCCATGCTAGGGAGATAACTCTTGCATTAAAGAAGTTAAAATAATAAACTGTAATTGTTTCCATCTCAGTGGATGCCAGATAGGGTAAACAGGCTGTGCCCAGCCCCAGGGAGCCCAGGATTAGGCTAGAGGGGAAGGAAGGGCCCAGGGGCAGGCTTAGTTGAGCTCTCTTAATACCCATAACATCCTGCAAAGATGTTTCAGACCAGAGGCTCCCGTGTCCCCTCCTCCCACTCCCAGCGGGGTTGGAGAGGAGCTGGCAGCTCCACCACTGGCCCCAAGTCCCCTCACCTGCCCTTCCTGTTGCATGGCCCAGAGGCTTCTGGCTCCCGTACCCCTCACCCTTCCAACTTAGTTTCTCCAGTTCATCCAGGTGGGGGAGGGCTGCCTGGCGAGCGCTCACCCCGTCCTGTGCACCCCTTTCAGGGGTGTTGCAGAGGGTTTGTGCCCTAAACCTGTGTGTACCGGGGGGAAGTTCAAGAACTCTGGGGGTAGTTGAAGAGCCACAATCAATGTTTAAGGAGCATGCACAGAGTCTGGTGCCTGTTTTCCTGGCTTGACAAGGCTACGATTCAGGCTTACTTTGTGTGTCTGTGTGTCTGTGTCTGTGTCACTGTGTATGTGTATCTCTGTGTATGTTGTTTTATCTTTCGGTTTTTTTGAGACAGGCTCTTACTACATGGCCCAAGCTGGCCTCAACCTCAAGATCCTCCTGCTTCAGCCTCCTTGAGTGCTGGGATTACAGGCATGCACCACCACAGTCGGCTCAGGCTTACTCTTCAAGCCTCTGAGGTTTCCCGGGGTGACCTGAAAGCTTGGTCTTCAGCCTCAGTGATGTTTGCTTCCAACAACCAAGCCAGCCACACAGCACTGTGCAGCGGCCTTGTCCTCCGTCCCCCCACTCTGATTCCCGGGGGATGGTCCCAGCCAGAGTATGAGGTCTGAGACCAGGACCCAGCCGTGAAGACACCGCGCCTGGTTCCCAAATGAGGACAACACGTCATGCTTTTCAGAAGAATGAAGAACACAGAGCAACATTGATCTCTTTTAATCTGCAGGCCCATTTTGAGCACTGGAAGTCAGAGCTGTCAGGCGGAGCCTGGAGGTGGAACTGAACTGCAGAAAGAAGGCTTTTTGTCTGTCCGGTGGGTGGCCTGGTCCCCAGGCCACGGTGGGAGGATGTTGCCTAGCCATTTCTGAAGCGGGTCACCGTGAAAGACTCTAGAAGGGACACTCCTCTGAAAGGGAGAGGGTCAGAGAAGAGAAGCATGGGTGAGCAGAGGAATAACCCCCACTGTCACCCAGCAGTTGAGAGCACTCTCCAGGGAGCACCAAGAAAATCCTTTAAAAATGCAGCCTGTGTTTGTCTTGCCACTCGCTCCGCACCTACCCCACGCCCACCAGCATCGCCCAAGGTGGAGCCTGAGGCTGGCGGCGAGGGGAGACGGAGCCCCTGGCCTCTCGAGATCCTTCAGCCCTGACGCTCCCTCCCAGGACCACAGCCTAGAGCCGCGTCCCAGATCCCAGGGTCCACTGACCAGGCAGCCAGGCTGGTCAGCCCCTCACACCGCAGCCCACATGTCCTGACCCCGCTGTGCCGCGTACCGTCCAAAGGCTCGGTGCCTTCTGAGGAGCTCGGGACGTCCACCGGGTGGAAGCACCACGGGAAGCCCAGGACTCTGTTGTCGAAGCAGCAGCCCCTGTTCTTGCACTCCTGCTCTGTGACGCCGGGGTAGCCACAGTTGACCCTTTCCCTAAGGGACATGGTGCAAGTCTCTACAAAGCAAAGGATGCAGCAGGGGTTAGCCGTGCCCGGGGTCCCCGAGACTGTCACCCACACTCCTGTCCATCTCCCGTCTCCAAGGTCAGCAGTGAGGCGTAAGGGAGCCAGGCTTAGTACTCAAGATGGAGGCCTGGTCTCCATTTCCTCAGGGAAAGAGCTGGGCCTGTGCCAGCCTTCATTGATTAACATTCTGGTACAATCCACCCAGGAAGCAAGAATCTATTAAGAAGCAGAGGTGTCGTGGCACTGGACAGACTCCTCAGATGGGAACCCCCCCCCAGTTAAAAATAGAATAGAGGAGCCATTGCTCAGAGGCTCCAGGCTCATAGAGAAACAGAACAGCACAGTGCAGAGATGTCTGTGTTCCCTGGGGGACGGGTGGGGCAGTGGGACCCCTGGGAGGACTGAGGACCCTGGGGACAGACCAAGCAGGGAGGGCCTCCTCCTTGAAAACAAGCAGTAGCCATCTCAAGCAGACAGCGCTAGGGTGGGGTGAGCTGGGAGGGCGGATGGGGTTTCCACGAGGCTGCTCTCCTGTATGGTAAGGGAACTGCCCAAAGCTGTGGTCAGTACCTTCATTCCGGCCCTGCAGGAAAGGTCCGTGGACCTGGCCTACTTGACCTTGCTGGGAAGATCGGCATGCAAGGCCCCCATAAGCCAAGTGACCACTGTCCACCCCACAGGTGGTCAGAGATGAGCGGAGCCTCCCCGCCAGGGAGAACCCTCCTGGGTTCTGTTTCACTTGCCGTGATCACACAGAAGCCTCAATGAAGTGACAGACCTCCCTGGACACATGTGCGGTCACCGCCCTGTGGGAGGGACCGCCAGAGGGGCGGGGCCTGGTGGGAGGGACCGCCAGAGGGGCGGGGCCGGGTGGGAGGGACCGCCAGAGGGGCGGGGCCTGGTGGGAGGGACCGCCAGAGGGGTGGGGCCGGGTGGGAGGGACCGCCAGAGGGGCGGGACCGGGTGGGAGGG